ATTCTGCTCAAATTTAATCCTCCTACTAGTTTCTCCACTTAAATTAAAACATTATTACAAAAATAACTTTCTATTTTATTATTATAAAAATATCTTTACATTAACATTTCAATAGCTTTATACTATATATTTTGACTGTATGCATCATTTGATAACAAGTAAAAAGATATTTTTGTAATAAAAAAAGAAGAGTATATTTGATAAATTATACTTGTACAAAAGAGAATTACATAAAATTACAATTCGTACTGCACCCAACCTAACTTAACAAAAATGCTTGCAAGCTTCTCTCAAAATCAGCTGTGAATCAGTGACACAAGATTGAACCTATTTGAACCCATGCATGTAACAAAATTAACATGCCCACATCGCTAAAACTGTACAATACTCATTACCAGGGCCTGATGTTCGAGTTCCCATGCAAAATTCAATCTCTACAAACTTGAAGCCAGAAATTTCTCTTACTGCAGTCACAAAATTTAAGAACTTCTACTTGCCCAATTTTTGTTCCAACATTGAGGGAGTTGGGTACGTAATCATAACACATCGGAGCATCGGATACATGGGAAGTCAATAAGCTTGGTTGCAAGGCTCAGAGGTTCTGGAGTGAGAGTAGCTGTCAAGTAGTCCCATAAATGAAACGTCAAAGATTCACTCAAAATCTTTTTGAACAAAGCCTCTTGTTGCTCCTCTTCAATCTCTGTTGCCGGTGTTGTAAAATATCTGTTTGATATTCAAATAAATTATGGTGTAAAGAATGAATATCTATATAAGTATTTGAGTATAGCCTTGCCTCTCTGCTTATTAATTTGAGAAACAAAGATTAAGGTTTTGTTTTCATTTTTCAGATATTGTATTCATTTTCAACTAGACATGTTTTGGTTGACAAGATGCATAGGAATTTAGGAAATTAATACTTAACGCAGTTTTTTACAACTAAACAAACCTTAAGAATTTCAAGACAAAATGACCAGCCAAAAAACATAAACAAATGCCAATTATGTAATCCTTAGTTTTTGCCTAAGAAGAAATAGGGCAACTTTTTCCAATTCAACTAAATGCAAATACATAGCCCCACTAAGCAAACCAGTCAATTGAAGCAAGATAGAGAGCAAATCATGTTTACAGCAGTGCTGGGTGAAATTACGGGAAACTTTCACAAGAATCACAAAGATTATTCGAACTGTTGTCACAGAATTTTTCTTATTAGAATAGGTGTTGTTAACTCCACTTCACTCTTATCCACATATGTAATTTTTTTATTCAATATTAAGAGCTCTAGGCAAGTAATAGCATGCAAAACACCACTGCAAACTCACACTCACTGAACCATATAGCCTTGGAAACTGGAGGCTCAAATACAACCAAAGGCTATACAACTCACACTAAGGAAGTGATATTTGAGATCAAGCATGGTCTACTTGCAGTCATAAAATATTTTTCAGTTTATCCAAAACCACAAAAAAAACTAAAGATTATGTTAAATACCAGGGTTAAAAAAATGAATGGGGAAAGATTTAGAAGCCACCCAAATCTGGAATCATACATGGAAAAAGAAACTGAGGATCACCGAATCCCCAAAAGAACAAAACATAACCAATATCTAGCCTCCAAAGTTCTATCGGGTCTATTTGGCTTGGTTTAAATTGCTAAAAGTACTATGAAAATAGCTTTTTAAGTAAAAACAGATTTAAAGTGAAAACAGTATGATATTTGTTAAAATTTGCTATAAAGAAGTACTTCAAATATAAAATGTTATGTTATGATTAATTAATTATGTTATAAATGCTCCAATAATAAAAAATACATAGCAATAAAAAATTTAAGTTATTTTAATTTTTTATTTAATTTATTTATTTTTAGTATTAATACTAATTTAAGTCAATATCATTTGATTCTAAAAAGCTATTTAAATAATTTTTAAAAATACAACATTGAAAAAACTCTTACCATACTTTTATATTAAAATATTAAATTAATAAATTGGTAAAACATAAATTCAATGAAGATACTTACTGAAAATATTAGTCACCTCCTCAATACAAGTCATAACTCAAGAATATCCATTTTCATTATATGATTTTAATTTTACCAAAAGTCAAAGACAAATTCTACTTTTACCTAAAAATGCTTCTGTTTTCCTGTTTCTCTTTTTTCGTGTATTTGGCGGGCTTCTGCACTTTTGTAGCCAAAGCAGAAGAAGAAGCCCAACCAGACAGACATTCTATCTCCTATAACTTCTCAAATGGACATACAGTGATAAAACAGAATTACATATAAATCAAGCCAAACCACAGTTGACAAATTATTGATCTTGAAGTCCACTCAAAAACTCATAAAAGCTAATATTAGATCTTTTCAATGAACTAAACACCCCCCAAGCCCCCGGCAAGAAAGAAAAACAAATAAAATTAGGTTAAGCACTGGTGGTGCGTTGTTCAACTTCAATCAAAAGCTACATCTACAACAAAGGAACCCGCTATAAATTCATTACAACAAAGAACTGTTTCCCCTCTGAACGTTTGACAATACCAATAATATATTGCTATTATTCATACAATTCTAAGGTAATAAATTGCTAGATTTATCAGTTCAAAGCATACCATGACGAGGCCATTAGAGACTATTCAGCTAAGTTTTTAACTTCTGCTTTCACTGTGAAAAAAGCAAAATTTTAATCAAACGCCTAAAGTAGAAGCTTTTAGTTAAAAATAAACTTATCCTTGCATTTTAATAAATGTTATTGAAAGCTAAAAATAGATATTCGTGAGATATTAGAGACCAAATAGGCGAATATTTTTCATAAAGGTGTAATAGTAATTCGCTATTGATAGTTTGAAATTTTATAATCAAATATTTAAATATTTGTAAATTCAAAATCAAATAATTATGAACAATAATTTATATTTACATTAAATAAAAAATTAATTTAATTTAAATTAATTTAAAATTTTAAAAACAATTTAAAATATGAGAAGTGTTAGAAAATTTTATAATAAATTTAACTATTTGTAAGATATTATTTTATTGTTATGCCCCCTTTGATCATTTTAGCATCTATTACTTTATATCATGATTAATCATTTCGGAAAAAACATTTCACAGTAACAAATCTTTCGATGACAAATTTTACCCTTCTCTATACAACTTTGATCTCAGAATTACATTTCCTAAAAGCTATTTCCAAAATAGTTTCAATCACAATAGAACAAGTACAAGCACCACCAAGACCAAACAAGGATTAAAAGACTCAAGAATAACACCTTCTTGCAGACAGGTCTTCAGTCAATCAAGAGCTGCAGATCAGATTTTAAAAAGTATATTTTGTATTCAATCTGGTAACCTGAATAAATTAAACTGGCAGCCTTCCATGTCTTAGCTTGCAAAAACTATAAGGAAATAACCTAATAAGCATGATTGCACCAAATGTAAAAGATCAGCATGCATAAGAAGGAATGGAACAGATATAAAAGATTAGCAGCAATAATACCTCACAACATCCCGTGGACTAATAGGGAAGAAAATGAAAGATGGCTGAACATTCAACTGAGACTGTTTGGTAAGCATGTCTTGTTTGTTGAAAAAGTTTCTGGAAACTCTTGTCAAAAGATCGGCCCCATTCCATCTCAAACGAGTATCATCATACGTCATGTAGTACTCTCTCAAGCACTCTAGTATGAAAGGACTGCACAGACAACATGCAAATCTTGCATCAGCAGATAATTAAAAATGCAAATGATAATTAATTAGCACACTTGACTTTTTAGGTTTGGAATGAACTTATAATATTAAATACCAAATGATACAACATGCAAATCAGTCATAGCAATATTAAATACCAGCATACATCTGACACAGATGAAATAAATAGAAGAAGATCAGATATACACCTTCAAATTTGCCTTGCAAACTTGCAGAAACCAGAACCCTAATCCCTTACAGCCTACCTTCAACCCATCCCAAACAGAAATGCACTTTCAACAAACTATTTTCAAGTGCTCAAATTAACAGTAAAGAATGCTGAAAGGAACATATAGAGTTATGCTGAAGTCAGCAACAAATATAACTAAGGTTCACAGCAACTATGGAAAAATATCTAGCATTAAATATGATAAAAATGCGACCTTGCATTAAGGGGGTAAAGGCATAAATGGTCCAAACATTCTTTTAGAAAAATAAACTTCTTCCTAAATCTTGCCTTCCCTGTCAACTTTATATAACAAGTACGAGAATCATTATTCCAAACCTAAAAAGTCTGAGCAAATGAAGTCACGCCGAGAAGGGGGGAAAATATGTAATGCTAGTAATACCTCTATTCTGGTGATTTTATACAGCCACTGATAATTAGAAAGATAATTCTCAGACAGGAAATATGATAGTTAAGGGAGAAAAACAACAGAGACTTCAACAATGTGTTTTAGGAAAATTCCAATCAGAATATCATTTTCTTCCTATAAAAGAATACCAAGTTAAAAATAATATCACCAAAGTAAAGGGAAATTTGCCGAAATACAGAATTACATGCCATTTGTACCTGTGCCTTCTAAATGCCATCACAGCACCATTCAAAGAATCTCCAGCAAGCTGACCCTCCTTTCCAACAGAATTATTGAGTGATGATAATGACCCCAAGACTATAATATCGGAATCAAGATAAATGCCACCATATCTGTACAAATCAACAAATAAGTGCATATTTGAAATTAGCATATGCTGACAACAAGTGTAATAAATATTACTTTTTCGAAATAACAAACATAATAAATATTACAAAGTAAATTGATAATTTAATAGGTCCAAACATAACATGGAGGAGCAATTTATCGGTTTAAAATCTACACAGTGTAGCTAGAAATACTAGGCACCCCAAGCACGATACAAAATTGGATAAGAATGCTGATTTTTTTGCGTACCTTTTAACTCCCTAACCAAATATACAATATGAAGATTAACACTTTTAAAACACATCCTTTTAGTTTATGTATGAGATTCAAAATCATTTCTTGCTTCCGTACTACCTGCTTTCCTCACCCTGCCTATAGGTAAGCACTGTACATGAATCTAGTGTCAACTATTAAATCATGCCTTACTTCTCTAAAGTTCCTATTAGAGAATTATTGTTGGAATGGAGGATAAAGCTGAAAACTTCTCCTGGGAAACTGAACTGGAAGGAAGAATACAGCAGCATAAACAAACTATAATTAATGGCCAGTTCCACCTCAAGCTAAGAGAAAAATTGAAAAGCTAAAAAATCAACAAGCTTAAAGTTTGATCAAAACCTAATTTGCTTCAAAGCTTGTATTGCTGCATTTTCAAGAAACCAAACTGCTGTCAATAACAGTATTTAGCAATGAAAAATCCTCATTTCCATCTCCTCCAAAACCATTATAATGGTCCATAATTATCTTTTCAACCATGCAACACAAAGCATCTTACCTGACTGCTTCAATAATTTACCAACCAGGCATTAAATTTCACAGTAGAAATTACACTGATGTAAGTTTCCATAAACAAGAGTTTGGACATCAAAGTAATTAACAAGCTCGTAGCTTTCACAATCGGTAATAGTTCTTATATACTATTACTTATAGTGTAGGATTTCTAAGCCATTGCAATTTTTTATGGACTCTCGCAGCTACCACTGATTAATATTTATATTCACAAATCTCTCAGAAGTCAGAAGATAACCTCACCAATAAGTTGATGCCATGGTATGAGAATAGCAGGTTAAAAAAGGGGAACTTGAGAAATTCACCAGATTGACCTTTCAATTTCTTCCTTAACCAAAATGCATTCTTCCGATATAACAATTTGTATCACAGAAAAATTAAATAAAGGGTAAAATAACTTCCCCAAGACTACAGATTCACAAGCCTAACATTAAAAAACCAATAATTAAGCAGCAAGCTTACTTGTAGAGAGCAGCAAGTCGGACTAGCTCACTATAGTGAGTAGCATAAAACTTTGCCTTTCTCCATTCAAACCAGACAGAAGCAAATATATGGGCAGGTGTATCCTTAAGCAATTCATCAAGATTGGGCATTGCAACAGCAACTTTGTAACTGTGGAACACAAGCAGTTTTGGTCAATAACAAACTCAGGTAAATGAAAAAATAAACTGATTACAAAACATACTTTGAGCGCTTACCCATCTTTCACAAAACTATCTTTGAAGAAATCAAGCTCCATTGTCTCTGAGAACACTACAACACAAGCACCTCGATGATGGCCAAGCAGACTCTCTAGTCCCCTCTGGTGTCTAACACTATACATCCATGGTGGCGAATTCCACACCATAAAAACTCTCATTTTGCACTTCCCTTTCCTGAAAAACACATCCATAAAATCTGAAAATGACAGCATAGGATCCAAACCAGGAAAGTAACCCCATCTCTTTCCATCTGCATATATATGACCGGAGAACTCATTCCAACTCTCATGAGCTTTAGAATTCACATTTTTCAACCCTCCCATTTCTCCTTTTTCAGCAATAGAAGAATCTTTCCTCATATCATCTTTTCTGCTAAGGCCATTGTTTGCTCTTTTGTTATTCAAGCCAACACCCACATCATTATCTAAAGTTTTGCGCTCGGGTCTCTTGAACCCATCACTTCTAGCCTCCACATTGCCCTCAGTCACCCTTTTCTCAATCCTTGTTCTCCCCACCTTAATGCCAGCGTCATTTTCTCGCAAACTGGCTTCTCGGTTTATCCCGGAAACACTCAAAGGCTTCTTTGCCATGAAGGGGACTCTTTTGAACTCGTTCAGCAGCCATTTTTGCACCGCTCTATCACCTCTTGTCAAGCCAGTAATGCCGATCCCATCTGGGTCCTGCAGCAAAGGATTATTCATCGGATTCAGCACCTCCAAATTGGACTTAAACATCCGATCCCTCCTCAGGAAATCGCCCTTTCTATCAAACCAATCTCCCCACCCTTGTCTCAACGGCGACACCTTCTTCCCAATTTTAAGCAACAGAGCGTCCTCGATCCCGGAAACATCGCTCATCTTCCCCCGAACCTCTTCATCCACAGGAATATCATCGGAACCAAACGCCGTCTTGCTCTTATAGTCGAAATCCTCGCCACCCAATCCTACATTAAACCCTGCATAATCATAATCCCATTCCTCAATCGATCGCTTGCTAAAAGTCCGCCTGATTACCCCATTGAAGTGATCAAAATAATACCCAGAAGAGGGAAACTTGCCGCCCCGATCACTTTCTGTCTCTTGCTCCTGATCGACTTCTTGATTCTCTTCCTCTTCATTAAAGGCAGAATTGACGGCGGCATCGTTTTGATCCTCTTCGGGGGTGTCATCATGCTCATCGATCTTGTCGTCCTTAGATGAAGAATTGGATGAGTCTTCTTCGGAGTCGGAGACAAGGGAGTTATGAAAAAGAAGTGCGTCGTCGCCTTGGGAATCGGAGCTTGTCCGGAGATGGTGGTGAGAGTGAGAGTGAGAATGAGAGGAGAAGAGAGAGAGACGCGTGTAGAGGAGAGAGACGGAGACGAGGAGGAGAAGAGCGGAGAAAAGAGCGCACGCCTGTGCCCCGTAATTGGGGCGTCTCCGAGACCTTAGCATGTCTTTTGCTGCTGATGGCAACCCTATCAGTGTTTGTTTAGAGTACAAGCATGCTGTACAGAGATAAACGGGAAAGGTAGAAGATGAAGAATAGAGCAACTTTGAAAATGAAGGAAAGAATAATGTCATCCAGATTCTGAATTTAAGACCAGAGGATCATGCTGTGATCTGATTCGTCATTGTTGTTTACCACGACGGTGTTCACATCGTCACTGTTTTTCAATTTTTCTTTGTCCAAGCTTATAGAGAAAATAACCGAACGAATTTTGAAGAAGCAATTTAAGAGAAAATAACCAAAAAATAAATAAATAAGCTTATAGAGAAATTAGGTGGTGATGGATAAAGAAATAAGAAGGAAATAAACAAGGGATTTTTTATTTTAAAACAATTTTTTTGTTTGAAGCAATAATTTGAAATCAAAATCAATTAATTGATTTAATTAAATTATTCGTTGCCAATTTAATACAATTGATAAAATACAAGTGATTTTTTAATAATGTCCGTACAAAATTTTGCTATTGATTAAAAAATTTTATTTTTTACAGAATAAACTAATATTTTGTATGAAAATATGAATAAAAAACATGTCATTTATCTATTAATAATATACTTTGAAGTAAAATGAAAATAATTAGATAATACTTACTCTTATTAATTAAAATATTCTTATAAATTATAATTTAAATTTTTAATAAAAATTCATATATTTTATTAATTAAATAAATACTTAAAAAATTAATGATAATACAACTCTCATAAAAATAATAAAAGTATTTATTAGCAAGCACGGTAGATATAAATTGCTCAATACAAATCGAAGAAAATGAATCAAAGATAAATAATTTGGTTTAATTGGGTTGTTGACCATTTAAAAAATAATTTTGAATTGGAGAATCAAACCAAAATACAGTTGCATATATAATTAAAAAATAATATAAATATATATATATTAAATTATCAAGTAACTAAAAATATACAATATCCTACTATTATTATTATTGTTATTATTAGTTCATCTATTAATATATTATAAATTAATAAATATATTTAAAAGAATGAGTATTCATTATTTTGTTTTATTTTGCTAAATTTGAATGTAAAAACTTGTTTATTTTATAAAAAAATTATAGTTTAGATATATAGTTTTGAATGTAAGTTCATAAAAATACAATGAATTTTATGTAATTTGAATTACAAATTCAATTTAAACAAAAATCAACCTGGAATAATTTTGTTTAAATTCAGAATCTTAAAATTAATTAAATGATTTAGTTTCAGTATAGCCTATAACTA